CCCGGCCAAGCTGTCAGACTCAGACGTGCCTCCGTAAAATGTCATGTCACATAATGTTTTCAGAAATACAATACACTCAAGGAGTCAAGTACAGCAGCCTGTGCAGTGTACAGTGTACACTTGTACAGGTCACACAGGACCAGACAGCATTTTGATGAGAGTACAATATTGCATTGCTAGATGACAAAAAGTGCTGATCAACAAGACACTAAACATCATGTCATTGATGCCAAATATGCTTTAGCCAGCAACCAACCAAAAGCAACAGTGAGGGGATAGGTACAAGATGATTGGTGGGTGCCTATTGCCCAGTACTAGGCAAAGTTTCAGTGCAATCGACTGACGTCATCCTGGAACTACCTATTCTAGGCTGGAAAATTTTTAAACCCCTGACTGGAAATATTGCATGTGTTGTGATGGTTATCCCCACACAACAGAAGGTAGTCTGATCAATTGCAGAAGGGAATGGGGCTAACAAAGGGAGTAGATTGTAAGTCAGTTGATCCAGTGGTTGCTTAGAGCACACAAGTTTCCAAAAGCATGACTACTGTCACCTGCTAATACTAAGAAATTGCCATCTATCTAACAAAAAAGTTCCTACTGACATTTTACTTATGACCGTAACAATAAAATTGCAGGTTGTGGGAGTTTTCCTCTGAATAATGAAAGCTTATTGTAAACACAGACTTTTAGGATGGAGTTTCTGTTAGAGCATGTTGAATACAACAAGAATTGGAAAAATGCTTCAATATGGCCTTATGCTCAAGACTATCAATGTAATAGGCAAAAAAGGCACATTGCATAAAAAGACAAGGATTATTCCTACTAGCAGATGATGCATTGTAAGAGGTTCAACAAAACTGCCTCTTACAATGAGATTTTGGAACAATGACAAAAAAGTGTGTCCTGATAACAATAAGTACAGATATTAGGCAGAACAATAACCAATCTAAATATAAATTAGAATTTAATGATGGATGACAAAAATAGTGGTTTTAGACATTTGGTGTGCCCAAATGCAGCATTGGTCAACTGAATTAGTGCCCAGTCTGGGTTGATTGATTTTGATTAAGCACCATATCCAGTGGACCAAGTGCTAACTAGAACTCTCACACCCTTCCAAGCAGCCAGGTAGCGGCAATGCCACATGCCACGCCACATGTGGCGTGGCACGCCCATCATTGCCACATGCCAATGATGCCCAGCCAGTGAAGCTCTGCTCACCTGGCTGAGCTTCCTGGAGAGGTCGTTGGTCAGGCACTCCTCCTCCTGCTCGTAGTTGATGGCCAGCGTCTCCTTTTCTTTCTTCAGTGCCTGGATCTTCTTCAGCAGAGTGTTGCTGATGAACTCCTCCTCCTGCTCGGCTCGAGCTTGCTGTAGAGCAAAGGGAAGCATTGAAAATTCATAGTAGGTTATGTGATGTTGCTTATCACAACAACTGAAAAGAAACTGCTGGAATCTGATACAAACTCCGAAAGCCAGCAACACTCCAAGACATAATCACAGAATTCAGAAAGCACTTGAATAACAGGAAAATGCTACTTACTATGTTCACTGAAGCCTGTTTCAAAGCACGGTTTTCTTCTTGCAGTCCCTTCACCCTAAGCTTGTATGTATCAAGTTCAACCTTCAAGACGCGGTTCTGTTGAGCGAGGGACTCGATTCTCTTTTGCAGCTGCTCTCGAGTGATGGGCGATGGCGGCATTAAAATTGACCCACCATCTACTGAGCCCGAGTCGCTCTCGCTCGCACTGTCCGCCATTGCAAATTAAATATCAAAATGATATTATTTTCTTCACATTGACATCGATCCCTTGCAGTACAGGGTTCAGCAGACTTGAAAAATCGATTTGTAGACACACTCAGCAATGGAACAAAATATCACGCGCTTACAGGGAGATCTTCAAACAACCATCAGAGCCAAGATCAGAGCCCACACCCAACAAATTGAATGGAGAATTGCGGGCAGGTCCAATAGAAAACAAATTGTTTAGAACCTGCGGCTCGCAGCATGGCATGAAATGACTTCAATGATACGGAAAAGACAAAGGTTGACGCACCTGTGACAAACACTAAGAGAGACAGGTTACATAAATTAAAATGCGTGCCATGCATGTCTAAAACATAGTGCAAAAAAAAAACATTATTCAGATATTAGCAATTGCAACCGCAGAAAAAAACATCGGAATATAATTCCAACGCCACAAATATAAAAAATATTTAGCTTTTAGGGACCAGATGTAAAGGCCGCCCCACACTGGAACTCGCATGCGGGTTGCGAGTTTTTGGGTTTTCGGGTTTCTTCAAAATCAAATAATACAATCTAGGCTGAGTGACCCACACTACCATCTAACAAGCGAGTCTGCATGTTTTTAGCTTGCGAGCGACCTTGCATTGCATTCCAAAAGTTGATTTTGAGTCAACTTTCGATTTTCCTCGCTGCGAGGTCTGCGAGTTCTGCGAGGTTTGCGGGTTTTTCGTTGGAGTCTAATTTTGGTTCTTGTGCTGGTATTGCGGCAAAATGTAATTTTCTGAAGGTGTACCGGCTTCACTGCATTCATGACGTTACCATAAGGGAACGGTCTAATCACTCTATGAATTAGTATTATGCCCGCAAACTCAAAACCCGCAAACCCGCAACCCGCATGCGAGTTCCAGTGTGGGGCGGCCTTAAAGGTCTTTTGGCCCGATGGACTCGAGGCCTTGGACTCGATTCGATCTCGGAAAGCATAACATCAACCATAAATGAACACCTTATTGTTCTCATAGCTCATAGCTCAGGTACTGACAGACAAAAAGGAAAAATTATGCCCTTTGAGAGACTGAGTGGAGTCTGGGGGAGAAGGAAGACGGCAGGTAAATCATGTTCAATTTTGTTCCGAGGCTCGCCCCGTCAATGGGCATTGGGCCGGGGCCGGGGGTGGGGGGCAGCGATCGGCGACGGCGGCGAGGCATCGACCTCAGACCTCAGCCCGAACCGCAGTCCAGAAAGCAGAACGAAACTAAAGAGATGCGTTATGCACGCAGTGCCATCAGTGGCTCGGGAACCGGTGGGCTAGCGGGGGCTGAGCACCCCCCCCCCCCTTAGCTTTTCGGCTGGGGGGCTCGTAATGCATTTGAGCCCTCCCCCCCCCCCCCAGCTGGAGGAATTGATTATCGAAATCGGAAATCTACCAATATAATTTCATACATCCATACATAACATACTCATAGGCGCGGGAACCGGGTGAGGGGGCTGTGGGGGAAGCTTGCCCCCACAACTCTGCGGCCGTGGGGGCGGTGCCCACTGCCCCACAACTTTTCATGAGGCCAGGAACCGTTGGGCAGCTTGTCCTTCCCAAATTAGAAGTTGTGGGTTACAAAGGAAGAAAGCATGTAAGTGAAAAATCCACCTCTTTCACTGGCTCGGCAACTCATTTGACAGATTAAAACCTTTACTCCAGGTGCCAAAACGGCAGTTTTTCACTCAGCTGAGACGGAATACCTCACTTTTTTGCAATTTCTTTTTCGTTTTTTTTGTTGTTGAAAGGGTCAAAGTCTGAAAAATAAGTGGCCTAAAACCGGTGGGAAAACTAGATTTGGGGGTACCTACTCTAGGTTGATCTCTATTATGGTTCAGCCCCCTCAGTCTGGAAGAAGTTCCCGCGCCACTGCCACTTGCCAGTGCCATCCTCGCCCAGAGCCTACACCGGACTTTCACCGGACTGCACCGGACTTGCACCGGACCGAGAGCGAGACCTTCCGTGCTCGGAGGAGGTCACCCTGTCCTGGCTCCTGCAGTGTCGCTTTTACCTACGGACCGGCTAAGTGGCGGCATCCTCTGGGCCCTGAAAAGAGGCAAACACTACACGTACACCGATTGGACATCTTCTTGGACCCACTCTTCCGGGAGAACAGAGCTGAAGACAACGTCTCGTCTCCCATCATCTAGCCGAGCATTCAGTCAGTCCTAGTCGCGACGACCCGAGATGCCGGCTCTGAGTTGTCATTGAGCTGCCTTTGACCTTCCTCTTCTTCAGACCTCAGTCCTCAGAGACCGGCAATTCAATTTTATTTTTCTAAAGAGAGAGAGGGAGAGAGAGAGAGAGAGAGAGAGAGAGAGAGAGAGAGAGAGAGAGAGAGAGAGAGAGAGACAGACAGACAGACAGACAGACAGACAGACAGACAGACAGACAGACAGACAGACAGACAGACAGACAGACAGATAGACAGACAGACAGACAGACAGACAGACAGACAGACAGACAGACAGACAGACAGACAGACAGACAGACACACAGACAGACAGACAGACAGACAGACAGACAGACAGACAGACAGACAGACAGACAGACAGACAGACAGACAGACAGACAGACAGACAGACAGACAGACAGACAGAGACAGACAGATGATAGGTACTAGACAGGTATGAAAATCAGTGGTAATAGGTCACACCTTGGGATTGGATGCTCTGTTGGAGTCGTTGGGATTTGGGAATATTCATTCAGAAACCCGACAAAAGTGAGTAAGAAGCGCGAAAGTGGCTACGGAAAGTGTCATTAGACAGAACAGAAAACGGTGCGAAAGCACAGAAAGGCCACGGATGGCCTGATGGGTATTCACATACCTACCTACCTATGACGTTTTAGCCACTTGAAGGAAAGGCCTGCATGCAGTGACAACAGCGATTTTATTCACCGCACACTTTTTTGAAGAGTTGGCTGTAATAGCGTCTTCATTACAAGGGAAAGTTTACCCGAGGTAAATTCCCGACAATCACCATGCATATTCCATCATCAACGAGCACATAATATCGTCTTGGGCTAGTCTAAGGAAACGTCAACTTACACGTAGAACGTTTATTGTTCTTAGTACCTGTTTTCCAACCAGTTTCATGTCTGCTCGTCAGCTTCGGATTTTCCTCTGCGGAAAGGACAACCGCGATGCTACAAAAATCGCTACCAGCCTACCACGTGCTGAAATCATATGGCCTACTTCCTTCTGTCTGCGGCCATGACGTTGACACAACACATGACGTTGAAGTAACGTCAGCAAATGGCAACGACCCGGACTCTAACCCTGACAGCGCTGATATAAATTGCCGCCGCGACGCAGACGGGCACACTGACACCGGTGGCACGGGGAACACGCCGCACCCGCAGCGCTGACGGCAACTTCAGTCGCTCGGGTCATCAGCAGCAGGTTTACTGGCTCAGACCACCACTTTTGACAAGTTTGTTCTGAGAATTTCTTCGCTGGCAGACTTCATCAGTCTTGAAGATTAATCTGGTGTCATCACTTCATCAAGTTTACCACTTACCAGCTTGAAGATCTTTTCTCTGCCGTCAAGATCACCATCTTGAAGACGCTTCAACCAACATGTCCACATCAGTCGCCATCAGCCTCCTGCTGGCTGTCGTCCTTCCAGAGACGGTCCTATCCACCCCCTGCTACTCCTCTTCCCTGCAGCAATGGTTCGCAGACGGCGCCAAGTGGACTGAACCTCCCTGCACGGGTATGACCTGTTCCGGGGGCTTCAGCAGGGGTCAGTTCTGTCCCACCGGTTCCTTCACCCCCGGATCGGGATGTGTCCGCGAACCGGGTACCCCCGGAGCCGATTTCCCCGCCTGTTGTGAGAAGATCAAATGTCCCGAACCGGGACAATGCTATTCGACTGCGCTCGACCGCACTTTCAACGATGGAGAAACGTGGACCGAGTCCCCCTGCACTAAGCGGGAATGTCGCATGGGCACCACGCATATCCAGTACTGCCCAACCTACTCCATGGGTCCTGGCTGTGTCAAGACGCCCGGCATCCCTGGCGCCGACTACCCACAATGCTGCGACCAAGTCAAATGCCCAGAACCCGACCAATGCTACTCGGAGGGCCTCCAGAAGACCTTCAACAGCGGTGAGACGTGGACGGAGCCGCCGTGTACCCTGTACAGGTGTGACAGCGGAGTGTCGCGGGGTCAGCTGTGCCCCTGGCAGTTCCCCCAGCCCGGCTGTACCGCGGTCAATGGTACGGCCGGCGCACCGTACCCCCAGTGCTGTGACAGGGTACAGTGCCCCGTCTCAGTACCCTGAGTGGCGTACCCGCGCTGACATAATGCTGCCGTATCAGGGGAATGTAAAGTTGTATTCGAAACTTGATTAGATTTTGACATGCCATGCAACTTTTCTTTACAAGTCATGGGTATTGCTTCAATTCAAATCTAATTCATTGACTTTTTATTCAAAAGACACCTAAGGACGCTTTGAAAGCTCGCATCCTGTTGAAGAGAGTGATATCTATTGTTCTTTTGTCATGAAACATCTACCTGTGATTCGTTTAATTAGGCCGGACCAATTTGTATTCGGGGATTGAGAACGTTCTGGCAGCAGTGTTCATGGCCAGTGGAGAGGGATTTGATGTTCAGTGTTCCTATATGTGTTGACGTTGTTCGTGTTGTTATTGGCTGAATCAGGGCCAATAAATGGAGCCGAGACAGGCATAAATTATTGTTTGATTATAAAGAGTTGACCGAATATTCTCATCAGCAGTAGAAGCATACGGCGTAAGAAATGAAACGTTTTTGGAGACCATTTCATTGGAGCGTAAACATTCACAACCGGACGATTCATTAGCGGCCTTTTAAGGACAATTTTTAACACTACTTGACGTCATCTATTCAATGTCATAACGTTCATCAGATGTTAAATTATAAGTCACGCAGGTAAATGACCGGTACTTACATTCTTCAATTCCTGGTAGAAAGGATTGGCCAATATGGCTTCTACTTATAGGTATGCCACACTTAGCGCACACCAGGAAATGTCCTAAATCCTTTACGATGTCATTAAGTCATTAAAACTGGCGGCCTGATGATCCATATACAGGGGCGGTCGCAGACTTGGCGTTTGGGGGGGGGCCAACTTGGCAAAGGGGCCCCTGCACTGACCCGGGGGGCCCGGTGCTAGCTTAAAGGGGCCCACGGGCGTAGTGCATGAGTGCAGAAATCTAGCCATGACCGGTGAAGCGGGGGGGGGGGGTAGGGAGCGGCACTCGAGCGGAGGCTCATTGCCAGCTTTGAGAGTGTACTATGTCGAAAAGGTAAGTTCATTTGGAAGCATTGGTAATGTCAATAATTCACGCAACTGTGAATTGACTACCGCAAAAAGTAAAACCGGCTAACTTAGCCATTTTGAAGATATTGTGCTAAAACTTTTGACAGTGGGTCATCGGTACGTGTTCAATCACATGTGTTCCGTTTCTTATTTTTCATTTGAGCACACATGTAAGTTTTGAAGACCATCACAGTAGCAAATGCATCGAAAGATGGATAGTAGTGGGCAAAATATCCTGAATTTGTCGTGCTGCATCGAAAGTAGTGTTGATGAGAAAATGGGTTTTATTCCAGATTATTGTGGGTAGAGAATACATTGTCTGCACCCACTGGATAATTATTGTTGGTGCAACTTCACCCACTGCACCCGTGGCTCCTACACTAATAGGCCCATGGATAACGCTTCGGCGATGCCTATCGCATAGAGGCTGCAATGTGGCCCTTAGAGTACAGTGTCAGACCCCCAGAGGCCGGCGTTGGACCCAAGGGTCAGCGAAGGGCCTCAAAGGCCCCAGATGGGGCCCCAGAGGCTGATGTGGGCCCTCAGAGGCAAATGCGTGACGCCCAAAGGTAAGTCTTGAGCCCCCATAGAACATAATACAGCCATCAGTGGCCGGTGTAGAGACCTCATAGGCCAGTTGGGGGCATATAGAGGCCAGTTTAGGGCCCTCAGAGACCAGTACAGGGCCTGCAAAGGGCAGTTTGAGACCATCAGAGACCGACTTGGGCACTCAGATGCTAATGTGGGTCCTTACAGGACAGCATGGGGCCCTCAGAGGCTAATGTGCGCCCTTACAGCCCAGCATGGGGCCCTCAGAGGTCAGAATGGGGCCCGGAAAGACTGGCATGGGCCGGCGTTGGACCCCAGAGGCCAGCAGAGGGCCCTCAAAGGCCAAGATGGGCCCTCAGAGGCCGATGCGGGCCCTTAGAGGTCGGTATCAGGTCTTCAGAATTCAGTGCGGGGCCCATAGAGGCTAATGTATGTCCTTACAGGCCAGCATGGGGCCCTCAGAGGTCAGTGTGGGGCCCTAAAACTCCGGCATGGGCCGGCGTTGGAACCCAGAGGCCAGCGGAGGGCCCTCAAAGGCCAAGATGGGCCCTCAGAGGCCGATGCGGGCCCTTGGAGGCTGGCATTGGGTCTTCAGAATCCAGTGCGGGGGCCTCAGAGGCTAATGTGGGTCCTCATAGGCTAGCATGGGGCCCTTAGAGGTCAGTGTGGGGCCCTAAAAGACCGGCATAGGCCGGCGTTGGACCCCAGAGACCAGCGGAGGGCCCTCAAAGACCCAGAGGGGCCCTCAGAGGTCGATCCGGGCTCTTAGTGGCCGACATCGGGTCTTCAGAATCCAGTGCGGGGCCCTCAAAGGCAATTAAAGGCTAGTCTTGAGACAGAAATGAGGCCACCAGAGCCTGTGTAAGGCCCTCAGCCGCCGGTTGGGCCCCTGAGACCGGTTTAGGGGCCCTTAAAGGCCAGTGGAGGGCCCTCAGAGGTCAACGTGGGTCCTCAGCGGTCAATGTGGGCGCTTGACCGCCACTGAAGGGCCCTCAGAGGTGAGTGTAGGACCCTCAAAGACCGGTATGGGAGCTGTTAATAGCTGGCGTGGGTTTCTCGAGCCTCGTGACAATCGAATACGGGCCAGGGCCCCATACGCCCATGGGGGCCCATCGGTTGTTTGGGGGGGGGGCCAAATGATATGATGGCCCCCCCTGATTTGCCTTTGGGGGGGGGGGGCATGGCCCTGATGCCCCCCCCCCCTGCGACCGCCACTGTCCATATACCTACTTACTAACCAGCATGTCCATTAGATGTCATTTTATCGTTCCCTTCCACTGAACACGATTGTCATCAACAAACATATGAATAATATAGGAAATGTCTAACTAGAAAAATCCCGTAAGGCTGTTTTACTAGCAGACCCGTCCTGGATTTTGAACGGGAGACGAACATTAGCTGGACTAATTGGCATTCCGTAGGCATTATCCTGATAGTTTGAGTTTTATGACAACGCTGCACCATATCCCGGCAGTTGCTGGGGTATTTCGCCACCCACCGTTTGCTGGGGGGGGGGGGCGTTAAACGCCCCCAGCCGATAACTCGAGAACCAATAGGCGCAGCGAAACGCACGAGGCGGCAAACGAAAGAACGCGACGAGACGCTTCAGATGAGTACTTTAAAGTTGAATTTTGAGGTCACAGGTGGGGTCAAGGTCAGGTCAAACACCTGAAATCGGGCTTTCAGTAGCATGGACTTCAGGACTTTGCAATTGGCGCCTCTCGTTATAAACTCTGTCAAAACGGTGCACAATCCATCATATAAGGCCTACAAGAGTGTCAGCGCCATGTAGAGGTCAGTCAAGCATAGGTCAGGGTCAAGGTCAGGTCAACCGGGTAGGCAAATATCCCCGAAAATCAAAACTGATATTCGCAGCCTTTGACACATGTTTTATGGGTAATTTGGGGCGTAGAACACGATGGTGACATTCATTTTATCATATGTGTACCTGTTTGGCTCAAAAAGTTAAATTTAAAAAATGCATGTATCATGGTGGTGAAGTAGTCACGAGAAATTGCCGAGATTCAGTTCAAGATTTTGGAAAATGCGGAACGATAATCAATAATCGAAGATAGCCATTTGATTGTTCATGGTATTGGCAGTCTAATGGCGTTTACAGCATGTCTGTATGTCTATTCTGTGATTTTATAGAATTTTTTGAACATGTGCCGTTTTTGGTCGAAAACTCAGAAATCATGACGTCACTAAAACCTCGATATCTCAAAAAATTTCCGATCGATTTTTTTGAAACTTTGTCACAATAAACTTCAATCAATTCTCTACAGGTACCCAAAATTTGGCGCGCCTGCGGCGCGCAGTTTTTATGCTATGGCCCGGCGAAAAAAGTGGGGGCGTTTAACGCCCCCCCCCCCAGCAACTCGCGGGATATTATTGGGTAGCAGCCCGTTGGTGTTAATTGAAATAAACTATAAACAATAAAGAATACCTACAGGTTCGATGCAAAATGGAGATCGATTGCAAATTAGAAAGCACCTACACAGTACCTATAAATGGAAAAATCATAAAGGATGGTGAATAACCTTTTAAACCTCGCCGGTTCTGTTGGTTTTCTGCATACGCGTCGGCCGATGGGGGGGGGGGGGATCCTCCCATCTCGCCTTTTCGCCCCTGATGAAGCTAGAGAGTTGCGGAAAAAACGAGCGCAACGACTGGTACCCGATTTTAATGTCTCAGGTCAACTGATGACCCATGAGGTCAGGTCAAGTGGCCCAAGGCACGACTTCGATTTTTTTATAAATAACTTCTAAAAACGGTCGCAGAGCCGCGATTTTGGCATCATCGTGTTTGCTTCGCTAAGGCGCGTCGAATGGTATACTTTTTGTTCGAGTGAGGTCAAATTGAGGTGTTAGACTCGGGTCAAGGTCAGGTCAGAATTGACCTGATGTCATAAATGACGTCACGCAAGGTCAACAATGCAAACGTGAAGCATTGATCCTTGCAAGGAGTGCATGAAATCACGATTCCGTGTGCTTGAGATAGTTTGAGATCGTTCCCGGTGCCAAAAAAGCAATTTCATTTTCCCCATTGGCTTATAATGGTGAGTTCACGTGACCGACCTGACCTTATGTGACCTTTAGGAAAAATCCGAGATAAGCAGTTTAAATATCATATGACCATTCCTCGTAAAATATTAATTGCCAAAAAGGATATAATGATCGATAGGTATTTATATTTCGATCACAGATCTTCTTCAGAATTGCTAACAACAGACAATAACTTGTTGTTGACAGAATTGTTATCAATTCTAAAGAAGAGGCTGTGATCGAAATATCAATATCATATCCTTTTTGGCAATTCATATTTTATGAGGAAAGGGCATACGATACTAAGGTCATAGTGATCATAATAAGGTCATAAAAGGTCATATGATCATATGGTCACTGCTTATATACCAATGTTCCTCGCACGTTTAAAAAGTAATATTTCTGTAGTTATCACTTATCGGTGTATGTATTCCCTCCACGTGCACACCGCACGAACCTCTTGCCAGACGGACTCCTCTCCACCGGAAGGTGGTGAGCAGACATGTGCATGGATCAGAGTGATGGATCTATGATCTCAGTAGATCTCGAAGCAAAGTACAGGTTGGGATCTATGATCCCACCGGATCCGGCGTGAAAAATACATCTTGATCTATGATCTCATATGATCTGACGGTAAATTAAGAACATGGATCATGATCTGAGTGGATCCCAACATGCACCACATTTGAAACCATGTTTTAACCCGGCAGGCGGTGGGACTCCCAGCCACCTTCCGCGCGGTGGGGGAGGGGGCATTTTTTTGCCCCCCCCCCTCGTATCTCCGAAACTACTGGACGGATCCGAAAATGCAAACGGCGTTCGATAGCCCTGTCAAATTTGTCGAGGGAAACCAAATTTCATTAACCTCGGGGTCACCGATGACGTCACAGGTCAGGTCAAAGATAAAATGTTTCACCGTTCGCGGGGCTTCTAGGGAAAGCGCTATAACACCGAGTAAAACGCATTTTGTCGAAAATCAGCGATAAGGCGTCAGTTGTCTAGTACATATGTTGCTATTAGAGGTCACTGGTCATACCAGGTCAGGTCACAGGTCAGGTCACCAAAGGTCACCAAGGGTCACCACATGAACCCAACTTTACTAAGGTTGTGCGATGCATGTTTTATGGCCAGTTTTTCATTTCCAACTCAATGGTATTGGTTATAAGACCATCAGGTACGGTTTAGGTCACTTTCTGGTGGAGGTCAGGTCAAGGTCAGGTCAAGAAAGGTCAAATTTCAGTTGATATTTTTGCATAAAATGGGTATCGATTCGATGCAGCTTGTCACGGGGAGTCTAATGGTGGTCTTTGTTTTGCGCTACGAGGTCTAGAATTGCTAAAAATTGAGTTTGAAAATTTAACGTCATCAATTTTGAAGTTTTTTTTCGCTATAACTTGGCCAAAAAAAGAGGTATTGATCTCAAATTTGGTATGTAGATAGAAAGCGGTAAGGACTATCACATATATTCCGGTTTTTTCGAAATTCAAAAAACGTTTTGGATTTTTCGGCTTTTATATTCAAAAAATCTATTTTTTTTATTTTTGGGGGTCAAAATCCAAAACATTAGAAAAACCGAAATGGCAGTTTTATAGTTCTTTAAATTCCACACCTTTTATGTGTGGAACATTTTTCTGTATCTCTAAAGCTGTAGGCCTGACAGCTCTTCCCGCGAAACCTTTTTTTGGGCCGAAAATGGCAAAAATGACGTCACTCTGACGTCATTAGCGGCCAACCTATCATAGCCTTTGGAAAAATTGTTGGTCACCATGTGCGCCAGGTACTCCCGGGAGGGTACTGAAAGTTTGGTGACGATCGGCGCAGCGGTTCTTGATATATATCGAAAAAAACTAAAGGGGGGGGGGGCAGAAAATGCCCCCCCCCCCACCGCCTGGAAGGTGAAAGGGTTTCTTTCTATGCCAATAACTGACACAAAACTATGGATTATGACGTGCGATCACATAAAATCACTAAAACAGAACGTTTGTGAGTTGAAACAAGTGCTTTTTTGGGATATATGTGTTGACAAAAAATAAGTGAGGATCTATGATCTCACTGGATCTCAAGCAAAAAATGAGACTCGGATCTGTGATCCCGACGGATCTCTCGATAACTTACAGAGCTGGATCTATGATCCCGTCGGATCCGAGATCAGGATCCGTGGGATATCCCAGATCCATTTTCTCGGATCCATGCACATGTCTGGTGGTGAGGAGGGCCCATCACGACAGCGTGGTCACTGGTCGCTGGTCACTTACCAGCTCCACAGGTAGCGGAAGTTTCGGCGTCCTCAGGGAGTGGCTGCAGGCCCGGGGACAGCCTTCCCCTCCCCCCCCCCCCCCCAGCAAGACGCTACATTCTTCAGGCCGGCGCGGTGGCGTCCCATCGGCCGCCGGCCAGCCGGCCTCCCCCTTAACCCACTCACTCACATACAACACCTCCCCCAGCCCCCTGTTTCTCGAGAAACATAGGAAACATGCTTATAGTCTGACAAACCTAAGAAACAATGGAGCGCAACCGCAATTAATCCACGTGCATTCATATTGCCTCAAATATATCCGTGAACATTCCTCTCACAACTTTTCACATGAATTTTCTGCGAACCAAGCATTTCTGCGAACCAAGCATTAAGCAAGCATTTGCAGTGATTAAACGCGTGCAACGTAATTCCGGTGTTTTAGCTCCCTTATTTCTTAGGGTTGTCAGACTTATAGCTGTGTATGTATATAGGTACTATGTATGTAGGTAGGTACTCCAGCAGCAGTCACGAACGAATATGGCTGGTCTTGCATAACAATCGCGCTATTTCAACCCCAAACAACACCATCGCCCATCCGGCACGACCCACGCGCACGGCCGTGCTGGGCCGGTCATCGGTCGGCAAACAGACCTGCACTGGGCACCGGGAGGTCACGGCCGGGCCTGACAGGCACACCGGCCGCCCGGGCCGTGGCCGCGCTCCGACATGGAAATACGCTAAACCACGGACCAGGGCCCAAGCATACCAAATGCCGTGAATGCGCATTCACGAGTTTGGTAACATTCAGAGCTATTCCACATTCACTTATTTATTCGTTCAGGCAACATTCATAATCATTCACGCTTTCAAAATCATTGAAAAAGATTAGCTGGATGTAAATAAAAAGGATATCTTTGATATCAGTGCCGTAAACCCCGGCCAGTGCGGCCAAATCCTATTTACGGCATTGGCAAGATTGGGCCCAGGCTCTACCAGCTGTCACCGGCCAGTCTAGTAATGTCAATTACAGAAAATCGGAATACCGATACCAAACCAAATACAAACGAAAACCGTGGGGAAATACCGAAACCGAACCAACTTTGAAAGATGAGGGAAATACCAACTTTTTACCAATTTCTTAGCCTCTTATACATTAGTAAGGGTTCATAGTACCAACAAAATACCAAACACATTAGGATTGAAATACCAAATACCAAGTTGGTATCGGTTTGGTATCGGTATACCAAAAAGTTGGTACCTATCCGAGTGACATCTCTACCGGCCACATATGCCACGAAACTACCAGCAACGCCGCACGGCGTGCACAAAACACTCCCGTATGTCAGGGGCGCGACGAGCCACGACCAGCCACGTAAAACAAGCACACACACACCCTGTTACTTGACCTAAACCTCCTCTGGATCCGCCACTGATTTTGCAAGGAGAAGGCTCTTCGCTTCCTATGAAAGGCACATTGCTGCTCGAAAAACGTCCACGTTAGGCACGCAATGATTTCATCAGCATTTTTACAAGTTCTCAAAAAAGCGCTGAGCGTGCAATTGGGTCTGAGTTTGCGGTTTTCTATTGCGGTTTGACCTCTGCATACACATGACTCTATGGCTCGCCCACTCTCTTCGACAAACGCCTCATCGACATAATCCCAACGCACTGACCTATAATCGCCGCCCTTGACCCTCTGAACGTCATGCGTCAGACGGCTCATCCCGCCGCCCAAAGTCCCTATTCCTGACGCTCATATGTCACCCTCTGAGCGTCACGCGACGCTCATCTGTCGCTCCCTGCGCGTCACGCTGTCACGTGACGGCAGGACCCGGTACTAGCTGTGACGCGGGTGACGTGACGAGTTGGTGACGGCTGTGACCTCTGGTGGCCTCGGACGGGCCGGCCAGACACGACAGTTGTCACCGACTGGTCCCGGCTAGCGACACCACACAGCCACCATCAACGAGCGGCAACAGCGAGAGGCAACAGCGAGAGGTAACAGGGAGAGGCCTCCGCAGCGAGAGGCGACAGAGAGCGGCATCGGCAAGCTGCCTCTGCTGGACCCTCCGCGAGAGAGGTTAGTCAGCTTGACGTCGCTACAGTGTTACCATGTTCTACGCGCGTCAGCTCTTCCTCATGTTGGTGCTGCTAGATGTGTTGCTGTCACCTGGATCGTCCCAAAGCTGCGTCTCAAGAGCTCTCGGTCGAAGATTCCCGAGCGGAGCAAGATGGACGGAGCCAGGGTGCACGCAGATGTCCTGTCGGAGAGGGCTGGTGCAGGGTAGGGGGTGTGCTATCGCCTCGTATCCACCAGGATCAGGATGTGTGAAAGTGCAGGGAGAGCCCGACGCTGAGTATCCCGATTGCTGTGATCGAGTGAAATGCCCGCGTCCCGATCAGTGCTTCTCGATCCGACTCAACAAAACCTTCGACGATGGTGAAGAATGGACTGAGAGACCGTGTGCGCTGTATACGTGCAAGCGAGGGACCAGTGAGGGCCAGGGGTGCCCGATGTACCACGTCCGTCCCGGGTGTAAGACAGAGAAAGGTACACCGGGGACCGCCTACCCACAGTGCTGCGATAAACAGTCCTGCCCTGCGCCAGATCAGTGCTACTCGCAACGTCTCGACAAGGTCTTCGACAACGGGGAGGAGTGGACTGAACCTCCCTGCCAGCTGTACAAGTGCAACAACGGGTACGCGGAGGGAATTCAGTGCCCCATCTACCAATACAGCCGCTGTGTGAGAAAAGAGGGAACTCCTGGAGCGAAATACCCCAACTGCTGTGCTGCCATCTCTTGTCCAAAACCCGACCAATGCTACTCAGATCGTCTCAAGAAGATATTCAACAACAACCAAACATGGACGGAGCCGTCGTGTGGAAGATTCCGCTGTCACAATGGACGAACTGAGGTCACCAGTTGTCCTGACCTCACCATAGGTCGGGGGTGCGTCAAACTGGATGGCTCCCCCGACGCACCCTATCCGGCCTGCTGCCCGACCGTGTCTTGTCCCCGGACAGACCAATGTCACTCAGACCGTCTCGGTAAGACCTACGACTCGGGTCAAACCTGGACCGAACCCCCGTGTGTGGGTTTCACGTGCGCCAACGGTACCTCCAACCAACGAGACTGCCCTGCCGTGAGGGTCACTCCAGGATGTGTGAAAGAATCCGGTACCACAGGAGCTCAATTTCCATCTTGCTGTCCTAAGGTAACCTGCCGTTCCGCTGGTCAGTGCTACTCCGCATCTCTCCGTAAAACCTTCAACGACGGAGACACCTGGACCGAACATCCTTGCGCATCATACACATGTAACAATGGCACCACCAAGCTGAAAACCTGCCCCGTCGCCGTACGCTGGGACGGGTGCGAGCTCGTCAAAGGAAAAGTCAACGCGTCCTTCCCCGAATGTTGCGACAAACAGAAATGTCCCGACAGTAGCCAGTGCTTCTCAAGAGTTCTGCGTAAAACGTTCGACGACGGGGAAAAGTGGACGGAACCACCGTGCCTGGAGAAGACCTGCAGCGGGGGCTTCATCAACTCCAAGGAGTGTCCCTGGAGCGCAGGGTTCGGATGCAAGAGAGAGCCGGGTACGCCGGGCGCTAAATATCCAAAGTGTTGTGACAAGTTTAAGTGCGACGACTTCGCCTCACTCGATATCTAAGCGAGTGTTCAGAGGTGTTCCTTTGTTAAAGCTAATACAGACAATAGACAATAATGCTGAAAATTTTCCAGGATATTTTCAAGAAAGGTAGAGTAAGCTAGACATTGGCGCTAAATATGTAATTGTGAAAAGCATATCGCATCGCTGACCAAAAGCTTTTTTATTGATAATCGTTTCGCCCATTCAAACAGTGTAAGGGTTCATTACTTCATTTAGTTCGTTATGCAACGGTCGTGATGCCGTAATAGCCAAAAGAACAATAGCAACAAAGTGTTTATTAAATCACACAACAGCACTTGGAATACAGCCAATATCCGTATATCCACATTTACTTAATATGGACCAGTCATCGTGCATGTAATATTGAAGAAATCCCAGTGTAGGTATTAAAGAAATGTATTAAATCCTGCTGTGTGCTCAGAAACTGCACATTATAATTAATATCACACGAATTTACACTGCGGATCATTATATCCGCAGTGTAATGTATTTCAGTATTTCCTCGCATAGGTACTGAACGGCTCTGGGAAAGAAAAATGGAAACCGAGGTCTTTAACTGAACGGCTCTGGGAGAGAAAAACGGAAACCGAGGTCTTAAACTGAACGATATTTCCCATACGTCGTTTAATATCTATTCAGAAACTCACAATTAAATTATTGAAATCGCCTTTTTTAAGATTTTTATAAAAAATCACCAGAACTGTAAGTCATCAACCCGTGCCGGAAAACAGTGCAGGAAAGATCACGTGCAAATGTTTACCGCACGGCTAGGATAATGCTAGAGGGATATCTCGGCGTATGGGAATCAACACATATTTCTGAATGTTTCTAAAATTCAGAAAACAGAACTGACATTGAGCAGAGCAAAGGTTTCTAATCATTTTTTTCATTTTTTTTTTAATCATTGATTAGCAAAGGTTTCTAATCATTTTTTTTTTGCGTTTTATCTCTTTTAAAATGAATTCAAAAGTTTAGGCCATACATGCACTTATATGTCACAGTTTCTAATCATCCAAGCGCTGAACAGTAAGATACGATCTGACACCCTAAATGACCCTAGCCCCACGTCCGATGCAGTTCGGCACTCCGGAAACATTTTAAACTGCGCCTCTGCGGCATTTACCATTAATGACCACGGTCACTTGTAAGTTATAAGCAGCCCGTAAAGCGAGCCAAATGTCACTCTAAACGTGGTTTGGGTCTCATAAAGCCCATTATGGATACAAACTCGGTGCAGACTGCCACTTTCATAAATCATCAGAGCCTTTCTCTTGACCTTGACTCGGCTCTATGATATGAGTATTTCATGTTTTAAATACCCAACATGAGCTAATGATGAGTCAAACTACACAACTGCATCAAAAGAATGCATTTATGCATGCCCACCCCACAGTGCAACATAAACAAATAAAACTCGCAATATGTGAGTGCGTGTTTCATCTAGATAATAGATATAATCGGCAGCTAAGAACTCTCCCATTTAGTTGCAAACTATCCGCCAAAAGTAGGCATCAGTCAGCCGAGCCAAATGCAAAAAAAAAATATTTAGTCCGCCAATTTCAAACTATTGGGAACTTTTTCCCCATTTCTTTTTTACTCGGATGCGAGTTCAGCTAAAAAGGAAAAGCCAGTAAGAAATTGAAAAACGGGCGCCACGGGACGCAGGGCGACGCGTGCTGTAAGTGCGGTTCACTCAGTTTGAGTAAACGTCAGTCGACGCTCCACTCCACCCCAATGCACGTATAGACACTATGTGATTACGTATGCATGCACTAACCTAGAAGTCCGTCAGGGGCACGCCAAAATGACTGTAGAGCCATTTCATTTCGGACACCTTATCACCACGTGCGGAAACTGCTGTTAATGACCACTCAGACTCAGTCCTGCTTTACATCCAGCGTTCCCTAAATGCTGTCATGACGGTACGTGGTAGGACCGCAGGCACCGCGCCCTGATGGCTTTCCGTAGTGCGCGCTCCTCAGTTCGCAGGACCATGTCTTGAATCCTCGAGCTGGAAAATCACTTACATAAGACAAGACAAAGTATAACCCATTCTTTGTTCCACTTTGATATGTGGCCATTTTAGAGCCATTCCTTGCTAGGGCAATCCTAGCAAGGAATAGCAAATCCCTACAAACAACTTCTAAATACCGTTAAGTGGGGCTATTTGATGTCATTACATAACTGCCTCAAATAGCCCCATTTAACAGTATTTATAAGCTTAGTAAAATCGCTGGAAAATGAAAACCGCTTGATATTTTTTTGTCATTTTTGCTCAAGGTGATGGGAAATCGAGCGATGAATGCCATGGCTAACGCTTTTGAAAATTTTGAGAAGTTTTGAAAGAATTTTGACATTAAATCAGAAATACAGAAAAACGCACAAATTAAGTTGCACGGAAAGTACCCCTATCGGCAGCTTAACCCTCGCACGACCAGGCCATTTCTCATAACACGAACGACCAGGGGGGGGGGGTTGTTACGACCCCCCCCCCTGGCGTTTCGAAACGGAAGGTCGTAGAGCTTAGCGGAAAAAACCAACGGATTGCTCTCAACGAGATCTCGCGATTGGTGGTATATTTTTTGGTCCTAGGTCAACATTTGACCTACTTTTGACCGGTCAAAGGTCAAATTTTCGGAAAAATAGACTTTTTCAACTTTCGGCGGCGATTGCGGCAAAACGGTGGGAGATATCGACTTCAAACCTTCACTATCGTGTTCCTTGATCAATTCTCTATCGTTTGGTATGTATTTCGTTTCCCTAGCTCTAAAAATGGCGCGTTGGGAGCGCCGGAAGTCGGCAAGGTCACAGTCGGCGGCAGAAATTCGAAAAATCAAAATTTAAATTTTTGAAATCTGATTGTATTTTTGGATTTGGGAGGTCCATTTGCTCCCTATAGAAGCTAATATTGCTGCATATTCCCATTGAGGTGACAAGAATTAGCAAAATAGTGGTTCGGGCGCTTTTCAAAAATAGTACCGGACGCTGTTCCTCTTGTGACGTCATAGCTCCGTGACCTGACCTGACCCGGTCAAATTTCTTATACCATATGATAGCCAATACTTGCCCCAACATGCATGGGAAGTTTCATCACGATCCATCAACCGATGTTCGTACCACCGGCAGGAAACCTCGGGCGTTGGCACTCAGTTTGTGAAAATCCGGCCGGAGGCTGTACCTCTTATGACGTCATAACTCCGTGACCTGACATGACCCGATCAATTTTTTTCGGCAAAAGATGCGCAAAGGTTGCCCCAAAGGGTATTGAAAATTTCAGCCCGCTACGACAAGCCGTTTAGCGTGCACTTCGAAAAAACCTCAGGGGGGGGGGTTGATACAACCCCCCCCCCCCCCCTAGGCGTTCTAGGGTTAAAATGGATGAAGTTTTAAAAACTTCGCCACTGAATCTATCGTAACTATCGTCATACCTATAGGCTAAGCACATTTTTTTTTCATGAAGACATTTTATATTGTTAACGGTAGTGCCGATTGTGTAACCTATTGTCTCAGAATCCCGATGATGCCCATTGCCCACCTTGTCAAACCTCAACGTATGTATGCCAAATACAGTTGATGATTGTGATAGCAAGGCCCTAAAAACAGCTGATACGATGCACCCGAGAAGACTTACCGCAATCTACCTAAAGTGCATCAAACGTTCAACATAAGTTACACCGGTGATTCGGCCGTGGTCACCAAATGTGCAGTGGGTTCATGGTACTTTTGGCAGCAAGCAATATTTACATATCGTAACTTTATGACATTCCACCTTTTGACAAAATTAGTTACCCTTATGATACGTGCATAAAATGTTTTTTTTTTTTCAAACCGTCTCCTAGGGACACTCTGGTCTCAGGCAGTTCCCCAGCTGACAGAGTGGATACATATTATCCCCACACGGCCGGTCATTCCACTCATCATACGCTATCATCCCGACGCAGTGCTCAGCACCCAGCCAGTTATCTGGTTCATCAGGCCGCCAGCGTACACCCGTAGAGGCGTACGTACCGCACCCATCCGCCGCCAAAAACTCCCCTTCTACCCTCCTATCGGAGTAACCCAGCCAGGCCCACTGCCCGGCGCGGAGAGTAAACGCGCACTGGTTCTCCTCGTCGGTGTGAGGGGTGAAGAGGTGGGCGTTGATCTCTGAGCAAAGCCTCTCGGCGGTGGAGTAGTTTGCAGTCTGGTTCAGTCGGGTTACGCAGCGGCCGGCACAGCGGCTGAAGCCGACCGGACAGGCACATCGGTAGGTAGGAATATCTGCGGAGAAAGAGAGAGAAAACGGGTGCTTGAAATACACACGGGAGAGAGAGAGAGAGAGAGAGAGAGAGAGAGAGAGAGAGAGAGAGAGAGAGAGAGAGAGAGAGAGAGAGAGAGAGAGAGAGAGAGAGAGAGAGAGAGAGAGAGAGAGAGAGAGAGAGAGAGAAACGACAGACAGAATACGGATGGAAGCTTTGAAATACTTACAAAGGTGACCCACGAAATACAATGTAATAGATTTGTGAAATGGATGTTGGACCAGCCATTGAAAGTTAATTGTGTTTCTTGCTACAGATACCTAGATATAACGAGTGTTATGCTAAAACGGGAAGCCTCAGTTCCCGGGAGGGAGGATTTGGATCGCATACTGCCGCTTCCGGTACCTAGGACTTAGCGACTGACATCCGGTATACGCGCACTGCTTTGAGTTCAGCGGTTTGCCGTAGGCTAGCATATTATTCAGTCATCAAAAATTGTTTCTGCGCTTTAAAGTGTGACAATATGACGTTTAACTAAATAACAACCGGTCCATTCAACTTTTAGTAGCATGCATTTAAAATCATGATGCCTTGTCATGAACTGGTATTGCATGCAGTTTGTAGCTGGTGTAATATAGGTACTTATTCCAATGTCATTCCACGTGAAAATACGTTTGATGTTTCATTTCTGGAAACGAAATGCTATAAGGACTCAGGTGAATATATATTATCAAGAAAGCAATTGCAGCACCGTCCAAGTTCAAATTACCTGCGAATGCTCTCAATTGTCTTGGGATTCCATTGGTGCTG